CAGACGAAAGAAAGAAAGAAAGAAAGAAAGAAAGAAAGAAAGAAAGAAAGAAAGAAAGAAAGAAAGAAAGAAAGAAAGAAAAAGAGGGAGAGAGGGAGGGAGGCATTCTATTGCAAGAAAGACGAGAAAAAATAAATGTGAATAAAGACTCATTTGGTTGGCTAAGGGAATATGTTATCAATTTTCTCAGCTTCAGAATCCTCAAGCCATGTAGTAGGTGGGGGAGAATTCTCCCATTTGGAATCAAAACTCCACTTTCTTCTTCAGAGGGTCTGAACCAGTCATTGCTATGATGTGCAACTTTAACTTCAATATAGAGGAGTTTTTCTGCTGATTTCAGTGGGATGTGTAGCTTAGACTTATATTCTGAAAAAAAGAAAGTAACTAACTTTGTAGTTTTTTAGAGTTGAAAGTATACCTCAGGGACACCTCTGATCTTTGCCTACACTGAAATTGGTCTAGGGACATCATTCCAATGATATGCATCTTCAATATAAAAACTATATTAATATCATGTGACTCTTTAATTGCAGGATTACATTTTCTACAATTTTTAATTTTTTTCATATTCATTTTACTCTTGCCCCTCTGTTCTTCATGGTTTCCCTTCCAGTATTTAGCATCATTGGATCAGTATCATTCATGCAATTCCTATTAGCTTTTCTTAATAACAAATGACTTTTTAAAAATTCCACTGGGTGATACTGAGATATTACATTTGGAAAAGATACTTCTAGCATGCTTGCTGGATCTGAATGTTGGGGACCTATCTTATTTGCAGATTTATTTTGTTCTAGTAGTACTTGTTCCTTACGGTTCCCCTTGCACGTTTATGAGAACATCTTGTTTCATCATAACTCATTTGCAGTCTTCCTACAGAGGGTTTCCTAACACAGTCCATTTCTTCAGTGCTAATGCTTCTCCTTAGCAGAAATCAACCATACTCAGAAACTTGCAGAAGAGTCTTTCCCCCCCTTCAGTCTCTAGTTCTTTACATTAACCTTTATTATCACCCTAAAAGTTGTACTAATATAGAGTCAGATTTTTCTAAAAAGTAGCTTTAGATAATTCCTTCTTAGAACAAGTGTCCGAGCCAAAGCAAGCTGAAGAATAAGGCAGATATCACCTAATTTTATAATGGACAGAATAAAAGCCAGTTTTCATTTCCAAAATGGTAGGATCCTTAAAGGCTATCTTGGAATCTAATCCATGCCAAACAACTTTCATTAGACTCCAGTTTGGGAACCAATCCCATTCCACATCCCACGGGTGCTTTCTCTACCTTCTCTCTTTCGGGAATTATGCCAAAGTGAAATGTAATGCTTCTGCCCATTATCTGGTACAGCCAATTTTGATAAGATGCTACAGATATATTTACCCCAACAAAGGTCTCTAGAACCTCACCCCATTACTATGATTTGCCACCTACCTCTTTGCTCCCCCTGTTTTTTTTCTGGCATTGTCCTTGTGGCCTGTTACACAGGTACTCATCAGGAAGAAAAAAAAAAAAAAAAAAACAGAGTCCTAAGCTCCTGAAGAGTTGCCAAAACCACTCCTTAAAAATCAAACTGTTCTAAGTTTACATCAGATTTGACCTTTGTTCCTTGTCCCCTTTCAAGCAGAAAAATGAAGATTACAAGAGAAATGTTTGTGCTTTCAATCATCACAAAAGCCCATGAAAGTTACATATCCTTGGACTCTTGGGAAACAATGTGACATTATCTAAGAGATGAGTGGACAACCTCTGGCCCACGAGATGCATGTGCTCCCCAAGGGTTTCTTTCTTTCTTTCTTTCTTTCTTTCTTTCTTTCTTTCTTTCTTTC